AACATCAGCAAAACTAGAGAGATGATAGTGGACTACCAGAAATGACCAGTCAGGGAAAACCAGCCCATCCACATCAACAGTGTCAAGGTCGAAAGGGTCAGCAGCTTCAAATTCCTTGGAGTCAACATCACTGAGGACTTCTCCTGGACCCTTCAAACAGACACTGCTATCAGGAAAGTTCGCCAGCGGCTTTACTTCCTGAGGAGGCTGAGGAAGTTTGGCATGAACGCCAACATCAGCTCAAATTTCTACAGGTGTGCAATCGAGAGCTTGCTGATGAGCTGCATTACAGTTTGGTACGGAAGCTGCTCTGCCAGCAGCCGTAAATCACTACAGAGGGTGGTGAAGGCAGCAGAGCACATCACTGGCATGAGGCTTCCTGCCATTCAGGACATTTCTCTCCAGCGATGCCTCTAAAGCACACAGCATCATCAAGGACCACAGCCAACCAGCACATCAGCTCTTCTCCTTGTTACCATCTGGCAGACGCTACAGGAGCCTGTCTGCTCGGACTACAAGACTTAAAAACAGTTTCTACCATCAAGCCATACGACACCTCAACCACAACACAGTCCACAGGACGCACTCAGAAGCTAACCTGCAGCTTCACAAGTACTCTGTATAATCTGCACTGGTCACTCCACTTTATTGATATTTATATTTTTAAAAAAGTGCAATACTGTAACAACTGCCACAAAAAACAAAAACTTTAGTTACTGCTGCTTATTCCTGTGCAATATCCCATCTGCCCCCCCCCCCCCCCCACATTCCTATTTAAGTTTTTCTTTATTTAATCACTAGTGTGTACATATATATATATATATATATATATATATATATATATAGTCAGTTAACTTAAAATCTCTTTTTCTTTTACTACATCTTATTATTATTTTGCTCTTACTATTTTTCTATTTATTTTTTATTATTTTATTTTATTTTTTTCTACTGTACCATTCTGCTGAGTGACTGTCTTCTGCTTGTCAAATACATTTCATTGCGATGTTGACCCTGTGCTAACTTGCATATGACAATTAAAACTGAAAACTGAAAAATGATCAGGCAGATGCTCTATCTGGATCATCAAAGTACAAACCCCCTTGGCACATCATAGGGAACTTGTTTTGATAAGCAAGCTGGTTTTTTTCTTCCTTTTCTTTTCTTTCTTCAATAATCAGATATACAATAAATACTTTGAAAAGGACAGTGCTGTACCTTATTTAGATGTTAACCATAGTCTAGAAGTTTTTAAATAGTGCCGAGGTCTGGGCTTTGGGAAATCCATTCTAGAAACTCAGTGGGCCTTTTTATGGGCCTTTTCTGAATGACCGCAGTTCAGTTCTACATAAGTACCAGTTATCTGGATATTTCACTACTTTGCTAAGTTCTGGAAGATGACCAATGTTGTCACCGTCAGCTGAGAGGAAATTGATCGGGATGCTTGGAAACAACCGAGGAACCACCAAGACTCAATCCTGCCATGGAGACTCAATCATTCCACAGTAAAGCTAATTTTACATCCACATGAACTGAGAGGGTGTCGAGCAAGAAACAAAAAAATCAACTACTCCAAAATCAAACAAAAACCTGTCAGCTAATGACATTGATCGTTTCTATGATCACAGTTACACCACAGACATTTTTGGGTATGTCTACATACAATGGAGACATTGAGAGCAAACAAGGACACACCTATTCTAGCAGGTAACTGTCCTGACAGGTAAACCGCCATCTGACACACAGACATGCTACCAGTAAATGTCAATACCAGTATAACAAAATAAGAGTATTTGTTATGCAGACAGAGAAATATTTTATTCTTGAATCTCCTTTTGGCAGGGTAAACATTGGCAGTTGAATAGCATTGTCGGTCAGGGATTAAATGTCTAGTGATTAAACGCTTTTATCAGTGGATTTGAATGGAAGGTTTTCTGCTAAAAAGCTACAAAGATTTGACAATGCATAAAAAGCTTTTTTATACTATGTATTAATTTTAAATATGACAATAAACCTTTGGCTGCACCAGTGCAAAATGGGACAGGGAAGAACAAAAAAAAAGCTCAGACAACACAGATTCTGGTTAGACCAACAGATGATGTGTCATTGGGAACAAAAGCTCTGAAGGGGATTGAGTTCATTTCCAGCTTACCGTTTGCCATTCCATCAACTTGACCTACCTCACAGCAGCACAGCCTGTTTTATGTTTAGTCTCTCCTTTCACACTGTTGTCTTGTGTTTAAGAACAGAAAACATAACATTCAAACAAAAGGGAACAATGCTTTTCAAATGTATTTCATCAGTCTCCAAGACAAATGCTGCACACTGAATTCATGCTGTTTAATTTAAAAGATATGCACGTATTTATATAAAAATATGTATGCACATATAGAAAAATGGCCCAAATATAAGACAAACAAAAAATAAAAACAACACGACTAGAGGAAGAAGAGAAGAAAAATAGTACATTCGTGTAGTTTAAAAAGCATGACCATATATCAAGTAATCCAAAGTATTTAGAATATGTTACTCACATTGAGTAACTTAATGGAAGACATTACAAACTTCATTTTGGGCCATGTATTTGTAATCTGTAGTGGACTACATTTTAAAAGTAACCTTCCCAACACTGTTTGTTTCACAACCTTTTTTTTTAATAACTGACTGCTGAGATGGGAAAACCAAAAGAAGCTGAGTTTATAGGATTTACCCAAATTCAAAGCCAGAAGTTTAACTAGTTTAACTCCAAGGGTGTGTCAGTGTAAGATCACCACAGTCAAGGACACATTTTGTGGTTTCATGCTTTCTTTGTTTAACCATTAACTAATCCTTTTTATTTATTTATTTTAGACTATTGTATTGTACACTAAACCTGTGTCTCTATGCTTGACCACTCTCTGAAATCTCTTTTATTATTTAATGGTTTTGTATTTTCTGTGTTTCATAAACAAAGACAGATCAACATCAAAACCAAACTAGACAATGTCCATGTCTGGATATGCTTGCTTATTATGACTCGCGTCTCTGTCTAATTACAGGTTTTGACATTTTCAGTTTAAAATTAGGACACTGCCAAAGATGAACTGTAAGAATGACCTCTATACACAATCAAGGGTGAAATGCCACAAAATGCCAAAGACAAAATTAGTAAAAAAAAAATAAAAAATGCTATTATAAATTACTGTAAAATACAGTATATTAACAGAAGTATTCTTTCATCTGCCTTCACACACGTCTGAACTTGAGTAATATCACATATTTAATCCATGGGGTGTCGGCCCACCCTTTGCAGCTATCACAGCAACTCTTCTGGGAAGCTTTTCCCACGAGGTTTAAAAGCGTTTATGGGAGTTTCTGATGATTCTTCCAGAAGCACATTTGTGAGGTCAGACACTTATGTTGGACAAGAAGTCCTGGTTTGCAGTCTCTGATTTAATTCATCCCAACTGTGTGTTCTGTCAGGTTGTGGTCAGGACTCTGTGCATGCCAGTTACCTATCCAAGTCTTTATAGACCTTGTGTGCAGGACCTTGTGTGCAGGAGTGTAGTCATGTTGGAACAAGAAGCACTTTGCATTGTGCTTGGTGATGTAAGGCTTGGATGCAGCCATGGATACCCATTCATTTAAGCTCCCCACACACTGTTCTTGAGCTAAAGGTCAATATAGTTTATTTCAACTAATAAAAATAAACTATTGTCAGAACCTATATATCTGCCCCCAGTGACTTGGCTTAGCCTTTACCAAAATGGAGCAGTTATAAAGAAATTATGTATAACTAAGACATTTTGACAACATAGCTGTCTTATATTTGACCAAAGGAAAAAGAGTAGCCATTATTTGCACAGGTAAATGAAAGCTTTTCAAACGTTAAAATCAAGTTTATAACGTTTGAAAGGTTTATCAATATGTCTAACATGGGAGAGTACAGTAAAGTAGACTTTGACATCTCTGAAGATAACCACATTGTTATTGTCACTCAAAAACTGGTGACTTCTTTTCTTGAAGTGCTCCATTCAGGAATGTCTGTAATGTGGTGGCAGTTATTACATTCACATGCTCCTCAGGACGCAATGGATATGATATGTTTCTAATTCTGCTAAAACATTATTACTTTTATTTTATCGGTATAGAGGAGGTTGAAGGAATTTCTTAATTAGCATCACACTATTTTAAGAAGGTGTTTTCCATTAATGCATAACAGTCAAGTATAAATTTAGAAAGGCATGAACATAAACAAGCAATCTTCTTTCATATGCTATTTATTTATTTTTACATCTTACACATTTGTCTTTTCATATTCACAGAGCACATTTATGCTCCCTCCATCACTTTTGTTATTCAGAACCACAATTCTTGCTTTTTAAAGAAATACTGTCTTAATGAACTGATATACAGATTTCATTTTCCCTAATAATAAGGTCAGCAATTTACTGTTTTCTGTACATTTTCACTGTTGGTACTAAGATAGAAAACAGCCTTCCATATAATACATTTGTAATCTCGTCTTTAGTCCATATCTTATTAAACTAAGCAAAGCACAAGCTGATCTCTAACAGTTAGTCAGCCCAGGCTGCATGAGTTCTGTAACAGTATTGCAGTCCATAGTGTGAAGTTTTGTTTTCAGCTACCTTAAACTTTTTTCTCTTTTGCTGGAGTACTGATGAAATCAAGTAGTAATGATAAAGCTGTGAGAGAGAACCATGAAAAACTTCTAACCACTGTTGCTACAACTTACTTTAATTAAATAGGATCGTGAGACAAATCTCTGCTTGTATCTATGAGTGATGATGTAAAACCCAACCAGAAGTCTCACTGTGTCTCCTCTACTGAGTCGGACATAAATGATGTTTTAAAGGGAGGGGAGTAAAGAAGGAGGAGCAGTGAAACAATCCTCTTTTTAACCGTTGTGCTCGTTTCATTTCAGATGCATACTCGAGCTGAGTCCGTTTTTGTGTTGTATCAAGTATCTGACTGTATAAAGCAGCAGTTAAACTGAGGACATAATGACCACAGGCTTGCTTCTTCTTCTCCTGGTGCTTTCTGGTTCTCAGGCATCCCATTACTTTGGGACAGTGATGACCTTTACCCCTAAAGAAAGCACGGATGATGGATCTCTAAGGGTAAGGGCATAGTGCAAAAATATTGATTGCTGTTATAATGTGTTCTTTTACAAAATTTGTATTTATAAAAAAAAGTGAAAAAGTGCTCAACTTTGTTTGATTTATGAAATGGGGGGAATTAACGTGATGTCGTGAGTGTAAATCAATAACACACGTGTCAAAATCTGTGGGTGAACTACTGACAATGTGCGAACTTATATACAAAGAGGGCAAGTAATTCCAGATTTTACAGATCCGTCTCAGTGTGGTAGCTGAAGAAGAATCTGCATATATTTTCTACTTTTTTATGTAACCTTTCTATTAGACATTGTTGGGAATTGTGCAAGCTTTGCAGGATGGGACCGCTGCTCTCTGGATAAATTTGACAGCTTAGGTAAAGCCCAGGATTTATCTTGCATTCAGTTCTTCTTTGTTGTTCTTACCACAAAATGGTCCAGTCTGCTTAAAGCTGTGAATTGGAAAAATACACTGGTATCATTGTTGTGTAATATATGTAAGTCTAATGTAACTTTTCACATGTGTTAGTATGCAGTGGTTTTATTGTGTGAAGTGCCATGAATTCCATGATCAGAGGGTGATCATGAAGCTCTGTGACTTCCAATTTGTTATTACAACATAATCAGGTTATTAGCAACCCAGTGGACAACACAGTACTGTCTATTAATTCTTTAAGTTGCAACAATCTTGTTATAATATTATAAAATCATATAACAATAGCATCATCTTTTCTTTCTTTTTTTCTTTTTTTTTTTACAATATCGCAGGTGGTCTTTGACTACAAGTTGAGCTTTCGCTCATGCACAGATGAAGACAAGTGGAAATGTGCCAGCGGTGACTGTGGTAGTGAGAGTGTGGAGCTGAACATCGTGGATGAAGAGGACAGAGAGTGGTGTCAGAGGGAAGGAGTCATGACTCGGGAGGTTTCCAGCAACTCTCTGTTTCAGCTAAGGTCAGTAACACGTCAGCTGAAACAGCAGATTCAACAAAATGCCACTGACCTGATTGCATTCACTCAGTGGTCAAACTTGTATATATCACTTGACAAAAACATAGTACACTGTAGATCGGTTACTCACAATAAGAATTACAGAGTTTTGACAACAACTGTGCCCTTTGGAAGTAAAAACCTTAAGTGTATGTTTTTTCTGCTGTGATGAAAGGATTTTTATCGAAATAACACCTATGGTTAAGAGGTTAAACGTCCCTAATTGTTGAAAGTCTCCAGGCTTTGGGGGCTTCCTGATCTGTAAAAATGGTCTTTCCCATATCTTAGAAATGTCTTGTACTTATACATTACTTGGATTCATGTACAAATTAGTATATTAATGTGTGTACTATGGACCTTACAACCTTCAATTCAAATCCGTAGTTTGGCTGGTGGTAACTGGATTAACAACAAAAATGGTATTGGTAACTGGAAAGCTATAACTCAGGTGGATCTGAGGACTCGATCTGACACAGCTCAACCCAACAAATCACCTCAGACCACCATCCTGCCAGCTCTGAGGTAAAGCTATTAACTCTGTTGTGGCTAGTTTTTTTAGTATTTGCAAACCATCATTAGAGGAAAGCACCAAACATTCATCATATATCTTGTTTGCAAATCAAAAATAAATTCAATACTTCATGGCATATGAAAAGAATGAATTATCATGTAATATATATCCTAAAATGGGTGTCGAACTCCAGGCCTCGAGGGCCGATGTCCTGCAGGTTTTAGATCTCACCCTGGGTAAACAACTCTGAATCGAATGATTAATTCATTACCAGGCCTCTGGAGAACTTAAAGACATGTTGAGGAGGTAATTTAGCCATTTAAATCAGCTGTGTTGGATCAAGGACACATCTAAAATCTGCAGGACACCGGCCCTCGAGGGCTGGAGTTCAACACCTGTGTCCTAAAACATGTAACTGAAATATGGGTTCCTGAAAAATTTGATGTTTTTTCTTTACATAGAATCATGATAATAATCAGGACACCGTTAGCCTGTTTAGGGCTAGAATTTAATTTAATTTTTGCCAGTGTTGGTTGTTTTTTAGCAACATAGTAATGAAGTGTGTTATTGTACCAAATTGAATAATTACATTAGTTACTATTATGTTGTTATTGTGTTACAAAGGTTCTTCAGTTATCTATGTGCCAGATAGAAAGAAAAAAGTAAAAGAAAGATTTTCTCTATCTGCTACAGTCAACAAATTTTAGTTGGTGTGCAGCAGGAAGACAGTGGTAGAGCAGTGCAATGATACAGCCATAGAGTTTTTGAGTTGAGTTTTTAGGCATTACTTTTATTACATGAAAGATGTTTGTGATGGTAAAATGGAAACTAGGACAGAAACTTTATTGTACTGCTAAGAGAAATTTGGCTCTTTGCAATCATCTGTACAGACAGCATGCTAATGCTAAGCTAGCCAACAACCCAGAGTGATATTAAATCTCAGTGTATGCTGACCCCAGCATAGCAGAGCCTGATCAACAGTTCACCAAGACAGTGATGAGCAGTCAGGCTGTGCCCTCTGTTTGTACCTTTTCATGTTTCTAAGTTAAAATCACTTTGGGGATCTGGGTCCTGGTTTTTCATCTTTCCTTTGTGCTGTTGGTTTTATGCTCATAACTGTAAAAAAGATCCCGTGGGTTTCCTTCTAGGGTAGGGATTTGTGTTATTGTTTGGGACTGTAGCCTTTAGTATGGTAATCAGGTGAAAATGCATTTCAGAACCTTTTGTAGAGCAACAAAACAAGTAAATGTAACAAGTAGTTTGCTGAATTACATTCACTGGCAAGGAGTTAAGTACCAATACACATTATTTTTAATAAAAATACATTACTGCTTACATTACTTTTAAAACCTTTGTATGTTTCAAACAGGCAAACATTACATAAAAGTGCTTATCCCTAGCCATAGATAGGTAGCTATGTAGCTAATGAAGTAAAGTTTAATAAACAAAAGTGATTTTGGATATACAAAATCTTTTGAGCTAGAGAGAAATATATTGTCTTTGCACTTATTAAAACCACAAGACAGTTCTACCTTTTAGGCGAGAATATTTGACCTGTGATATCTCTGTGCCAGAGTTCCTTCAAACTGTAAGAGAGAATTCAGCCTGTTGGCCTTTGATCCTGATGGAGACGAGGTTCAATGCAGATATGGAGACACAGCAGCAGATGAGTGTAATCCTTGTACACCACCATCTCTTCTAACCATCACACCAGTAAGTTAAAAGCATTTTCATCTGTCTCAAGCTAAGTGTCACAAAGTTAAGACGTTATTATTCTTCTGAGGTCTAAATCATTATTTAATCTAATAAATAATGAATAACTCTACATCACAATAAAATACAGTAATAACTCTCATACACCCAAAGGTTACACCCCCAAATATAGATTTGGGGTCATTGCTGAAACCTCAGCGGGTTAGAACAAACTTTATTGTGTTTTGCCTCATGGTCATGCCACCTTCCAATTTCTGACAATTTCAAAGATGTCCTAAAAAGCTATTTCAAAATAGCTTATTCTTATAAAACACAAATTCAGCTATATAAACATGTAACTGGTTTCTCTCTGTGTTTCCTTCTCCTCTAGTCTTGCAAACTGACCTTTCATTCTGCGAGTAGGAGTGATGAAGGTGCATATGCAATACAGCTCGAGATGGAGGACTTTCCCAAGCAGACCATCTTTCTCCATCAAAGTGATGATGTGGAGACAACAAGGACTCCCAGTGATGCTCTCAGCAAAATACCAATCAGATTTGGTCTAATAGGTAGGTCTTTAACTTTTAACCTCTTAACTATTTCACAGTCCTTCAGAGTCCTGGATGAAAACTCCTACAGATGCAGTTGTCTACATCTGTGGATCATCTCATTCTTCTGCAATCATCTGACATCAAAAGAGTAATTAAAAACTTACTGTGTAGGTCTTGGATTTGCATTTCTGTACTACTTATGATTCTTGACTCAAGTGCTTTGCATTTGGGTGCACAATAACCAGCTAACACAGCAATACATGACCCACACAAAGTTCCAACATTGTTACATTTGAAACACCTACAGCTACATTTACAGCTAATTGGCTATATTTTTGTTGTTGAAATAACTTTCAAAATCATATCTCATTTGAAATCCTACCTTGCCAAATTAAGTCACTAACTGATATGATCTTAACTTAATATGCCAACTTTTGTTTTGTTCCAGTGGACCCGCCTGTGCCATCCTGTTCAGAGGGAGCCTACCTGCCCAAGTTTCTGCCTCCAACCCCCGTCAGTGGGGCTCAGCTGTTGGCCTATATTAATGAAACATTGAATATTACAATTATGGCCGAGGCAACCAACACCATGTGAGTTAAAGAGAAAGACACAAAACACTGGCATATGTAAAGAATATTTTTGTTTCAAACTTTCTCCTAGAATGTGTGTGAGCATAATATAGAACCTTTTTTTAAAAAAAAACAAAAATGTTTGTGACTCTTTTCAGTGTTTTTCATTTTCATTGCACAAATCAAAATCAGCTGCCATATGTGATTCGTTGCTTGTTTAGGATATACATTTCTTTCCAAAAAATTGTGTAAATAAAAACTATATGAAAAACACATAACTTTAAGAAAAAATTCATTCATGAACATTTGTCTTGATTCGCACTACACTTTTAGTAAATATAATGCACATATTGAAGTACATCCCTGTCTAGTCACATTTGAAGAAAAATAGTAAAATTGATGTCTAGATCTGCAGAAGATAGATAAATAAATTGCAGACATTAAATTATTAAATACATTTTAACAATAATAAGAATTATAGTTAAAAAACAAAAAAAAAATTACATTTCTCACTGGATCTCTGTAAAGTCATACATGAAGTAGTGGTAACATCCAATCCATCACTTGTAATTATTTGAGGTGAACAGGGCATGTATTCAAATATGGTGCGACCATTTTGCGGCATAAAAACATTTTAGAAATCCAGAACAAACAACTTTAATTTCAACATGCAGAATAATTATTAAACTATATAATACATGAGTTTAATCAAATTACTACTCTTAGTTTTGATGTTATGACAACAAGAGTGGGAGTAGGTTTGGGTGAAAAACCCAATTTCCAAAATTCTGGAGGGACACTGAACTCTGACAAACTTTAGGTCATTATTGGTTGGCCACATGCAATAATGTCAGTATCAGCCACATAACCTGATCTTTGCTCATTAGCTGGGACAAAATCCACGTGGTTCTACAACCTGAGTGAGTCATGGGAAGGCCAATTTTGATGTCCCTCTAGGTTACCAAATATACATTTAATTTACCCAAGAAAAGGCAAGTAACCAAGTTAGAATATAACTTGATCTGGATCACCTTACACTACCCATGCAATGTCACCTATGTTGCATTGCTACATAGATGTCCTACATGATGGCCTTGACAGTGCAAGACATTTTTCATTTGATTTTTGTTTCCAATGCAGAATGTTTTGAATTGCAGGTCAAAAATAAATAAATAAATAGATGTGTTAGAAAAAATCAGATGCAGGACTGGGAAAATTATTTAGCAGCGGCATTGATAGAGAGCTGTCTTTGGTTGCTCCTTTCCTCTTTAAACATATTGTTTAAGATGTATTTCTTTTTGTAAAAAGATACAATAAAAAGAACGGTGATGAAACAGTCTGCAATAAATTCCGATGTTTGCACTCTGATTTACCCGTATATGCCAAATCTCTATCTTGTGTATTTTTGTAAGGGTTTCAAAGCTTTTGTTCAGTGGACCACACAGCGTTGTGAAACATGTTGTATCACATGGAGAATTCATCCTGACCTGGACACCATCTGACAGTGAAGATGAAGAAAACCATCCCATCTGCTTCGTACTCCAGGCAGAGTTAAAGTCAGATGGTTTAAACATTTTCACACCACCATTTTTATGGACATATGTTGTACTGTTTCATTTTTTAATTACTATGTTTTGGATTTCTTTTCTCAGTACAGCCAAGTATCACTCTGAGCTACGCTGTGTGATTGTGAGCATTCAAATTAGTGAGTAAACTCCAAAAATGTGCATTTCCTTCATTGATTTCTGTAACTGTTTATTTTTACATATTTGTTTATTATATTTTCAGGACCAATCACCACTCCTCTGCCAACAACTGTTCTGCCTTCAACCACCCCAGAACATACAACCACTCTTCTGTTCAGTACGTAAAATATAGAGGAGCTGATGCAGATCATGAATTTTGCCAAAGGCCTGTATCTTATTATTAGTTATTTATTATAACCAGTGGCACAAAGACGGTTAATAATTGTACTTCCTGTCATATTGCTTTTCTTTGCAACAGAATATATATGATTCTTTTAGATATTTGATGTGTTGAAGTAAAATCTTATGTTTGATGTTTGGATTTACCACATCTTTCACTACATTTATCTGTTATTTAATAGTAAATGAAACAGAAGATCTGAACGAGGTGCTATATGAGTCCACAGGATCAGGTAAATATGATTATTTTTCATAGCTTGAAAGTGAATAGCTGTCATGGAAATATTGTTTGAGCTTAAAAGCAGCTTAAATATTGTGAGCTTTTATGTTTATCCTTCTTCTACATGCAGGTGACGACAGCATGGGTGCTGGCAAAGTTGTTGGTATTGTATTTGGTGTTGGAGCCGTCGCAGCCATTGTTGGCATTGCCTTGTGGGCTTTAAATCGAAGTTCTCCTGTGCTCTGTGAGTCACAAAATTTTCTACTTTTCCAAAAATTTTAAAAGGATTTTCTGATGATACACATTATTTAATGCTGTGGTTCACCTATCTTTTTGGTTTGTTTTTGAATTTTACAGAAAAAAGTTGGAGCTTTGGATGAAGATGGGGAAAACAAACCTGTAGAATCTGGAAATCACTGGTCTTCTAGCTACTTTCAGCTGCTCGCTTCTTGCGTCCCATTCCAATTTCTACAAATGTAAATGTTAAATAATGCAGGTCTGCATTTTACTGTCAAAGCCTCACATAAATGGTCAATGAACTGTTTTGAGTCTTTGGCTCCATCTGTTGGTGAAATGATGGCATTAATGTACAAGGTTGTTCATTAAAGCTACAGGCAGACTCCCCCATGCAGGTGACTCTGTTTTATCAGAGAAAAATTCAAATACTGGCAAAAGGAAATATCTACAGAGACAACATGTGAAAGTAAAACATCATGCGTGAGAGCTAAAAACCTCAAAAAATATGAAAATTTTCAACCAACATGGTACAAAATGTAGTGTTGTAAGAGGGCGGGTATTTCTCACCACTGTGGTTTTTTCGTTAGTCGATCTTCGCTGACAACATTTTTATGTTGGACATTCTAAACCATAATCCTAATCCCAAATTGGCTCACAGTTGTTAAAAAAAATAAACAATAAAAAAATTATTTTATTTACGATACCAGATACCAGCTCTCCCTCCACTCACCCCTAATTGATTGCAGCAATGGGCAGCCCTCCCAGAGCCTGGATCTGCTGGAGGTTTCTTCCTGTTAAAAACATGTTTTTCTTTCCACTTTCACCAAGTGCTTGCTCATAAGGGGTCATCTGATTGTTGGGGTTTATCTGTATTATTGTAGGGTCTCTACCTTACACACCTTGAGGCACCTGTTCTTGTGATGCTATAAATAAAAATGAATTGAACTGAACAGAATACCAGATCATATTAGATGTTTGAAATGAGGAAATGAACCATTTCATGTTGGCCTTAACAAGATCTTTCTATTCCCTGTGTGAACTTCTTTGTCATTTTTTTGGATTTGTTATCGGTATCTCTTTAAAAAAAAATACACAGATAATTTTGGAATTATTTAATTCACTGACATCATTAATTCGCCCTGACAAATTGTCTATCATTAACTTTCTGGGCAGTCCAGACTCTTTACAAGTCAAGTCATATATATGCTCAAAAAAAATTTAATGGATTCTTTGAAATGATTACTTTGGTTTAAGAGCCTCATCAAGAAACATTTTGCTCACTGATGTATTCTTTGGATACTTTTGTGCAGCTGTCATTGATTCTCAGCTGATTAACACATTTACATGTTATGGCAACATTGATGTCTGTCAGTATCCTAAGACTCACAGTAGTCCCTGTTGAACTGTTATCAACAGGAGCTTTTCATTTAGCAACTCCTTGACTGCATTTTATGACAATGACCTTTGAATCTATGTTATTGGTTTCCTTATTTATTCAGTGTTCAGTGCAACAAACCTTTTCCACCAGAGAGGGAATTTCTGTGCACATTTTAACTCACTCTCTGATTCTCATTTCATAGTGTTGCCTTTAGTGACACTGAGTTTGACACATCTGTGGTAGATTATATACTGACAATGTTAATATTTGGGTTTTTCAACTAAAAACTACCTCAGTACTGAGGTCAGCATGTACCAATCAGACAAGATTGTCAGCAACTGGTTATTTTCACTGCCTGTCAACATGAGAGCAAGTTTGTACATGATCATACATGGACATGTCTGTGTGTGTCTGCTCACAATGGAGACACTGTAAGTATGATAAATGAAGACACACCTATGCCAACAGCTAAAAGTTCTAGCATTTATATCAAAGCCAAACATGCAGGAGTGCTACCAGCAAGTTGTACCATGAGTATCAAATATATGAGGGATTGTTCTGCAGATAGAGCAGCATTTATTATTCTTGGAGCTCTTTGGAGAAGAGCAAACGTTTTCTAGTTAACATACAAGTGGATAGTTTTGTCTGTCAATTTCCATTCCCCCCTCCCCCTCAGAGGTCTGCAGTTAAAAGGCTAAAAAGTATCCTAAGTAAAGTAGTTTACGCTCATCATACTAAATTTCAATGTAGGTGACTTTCAAAGTGATGACTAGAGAGCTAAAGTTATTTCCATCGGTCCTCTTTTCATACAACGTGAAGCCAATTCTGTTCTGGTGCCTTTTGAAGACCAACCCACATTTTAACAAATTCCAGAGCTAAATATGACAAAGCATGACTTCCAGATGTTGGAGAAATTTTAATAGGAAAGAGATCATGGCAGCCACAATATGTGGGCATGTGTGAGTCACTGCTGAAGTTCTTGTGCCAGGTCGTCCAATAGCCACTGACATCTGTGGCTCCAGTTTGGTGTCCAGCATTTCCTTGGTGCTAAAATGTTGCAGCTGTTTTTGCAAATGGAAAAAGATTGTTTCCCCCAACTTAAACATTAGAAAAACATTAGGCCAACTCGGACAACTGTGCTATTTATATTGTAAATAGCAAAGTTAAGTCAATTCCCTGCTGCTTTTCAATTTTCCTGAAGATCCTGCAGACATCTGTTGAACCTGCAGCTGGATGTTCAGGTCATATTAGTTTTGTTTTGTTTTGCACCATCTTTGGGAAAATGATGCCTCCTGGCTCCTTTTTTTTTCTGGTGTCAAGTGTGACATTTATCATTGGAGTCTGTGCTTGGAGACAGGTTTTCTTCCACCAGATCACCTGTACAATCACCTGACAATGGAAAACACTACACACTCAATCTTTGTCACCTACTTTTAATTGTAGTCCGATGTGCTGCTGAGCCATTATTGGCACTTTAGTGATGACTTTATTTTCCAATCCCAGAGGTTCCCACTGGGTTGCACCACTGCCAAAGGAGAGCCTAACTGTGGCAGAGCAGTGGCTGAGACAAAACTGCATCATTTTAGACCTATGGAAATGAAAATGGCCTGAAAATCCAGAATCCATTATCTGTATAGAAATGAAATGGAATGTCCTACATAAAGATAAAAAAGAAAGTACTTTAGGACCTACAAGTAATGTGTAGTTGCTGTTTAACATAGTAGTGCACACTGAATCAGACTGCATGATTTAAGAGTAAATCTGCACATAATCACAGCACTATTGTGGGAATAATTAAAGCTTGTAACAGTTGGTGAGTCAGCTTCCTGCAGTGCCAGAATGTTTGGATCGTGGTAGCAGCTGGCACACCCTTCTGCTTCCTTCTCACGTTCAGGAATGGCAGAATATCATATTTCCACTGCTACTCTGTCAAAAACAAGAGAGTGAGAGAGAAAGAGATGTGAACTTTAAAGGTGGGGCTCCTCAATACAATCAGATTGATTAGAGCAAAAAGTTAGTTAACTCTAAGTAAACAGGATCAAGAGAAAAGTCGTGCTTGTACAATGAAGCCTTGACTGAAGAGACAGCCTCCGTTTGTCTGCTCTCAGTTTACAACATAACTGTGTCATAGTTATAGTTGTAAAGGGAGGAGACAAAAGTAGGAGGAGTACTGGGAGAAAAACACGTTGTTTGTTTCATTTCAGAGCCATACATAACTGGGTCAAGGACTTTATTTTACTCTATTTTAAACTTTATTTTAGGGCTACGCAGTTGCACTGATCACAACTATGGATATAAACATGCTGCTCCTCTTTCTATTGCTGCTGCTCTTTGGTTCTCAGGCTAACCATTTCTTTGGGACAGTGATGACTTTTACCCCCAAAGACAAGACGCATAATGGCTCTGTCACGGTAGGTGTACCTATACCATTAATGCCAGGACTCTTTATTTTAGTCTGAAATAGGGGCTCAGATTTTTATTTATTACTTAAAGAGGATTGAAGTAAAGGCAAATTCACAGACATCCCAAAAGGCTCCTAAAAGCATTGACTTTATTTGAACAGTGCATGGACTCTTTATAATAACACAACAGGTGTTATTGTTACAATATTACAGGTGGCCTTTCACTACAAGCTGAGCTTTCGCTCATGCACCGATCAAGACACGTGGAGCTGTGTCAGCGGTGACTGTGGTACAGAAAGTGTGGAGCTGAGCATTGTGGATGAGGAGGACAAAGAGTGGTGTCAGAGGGAAGGAGTCATGTCTCGGGAGGTTTCCAGCAATGCTGTGTTTCAGCTACGGTCAGTAACATGTCAGATAAAAAAAGAAAGGTTTAATCCTCTGAGGTCTAAATTATCATAGATGATAACTCCAAACCAGCCCCTAATCCTAATTTGAGGCAATCAGATTATGTAACAGAGCTACTTTCATCTCCTCCCGCATTTGCAATGGGCTGCCACACTATTACAGGTAGCACTGCATATTTGATTTTGATTTAATGCCAGATGTCCTGCCAGACACAACACAAAAGGGATTTCTATGTTCTCTCTAGCCTTCCCAATCAGCGTAAGAATTCTAGTTAACAAACATTAAAAACCAAAAACAACAATTAACAATGCATCAAATGTCATGCATCACACCTTAATATATATGAGCCCTTTTTCATTCACAGTGTAGTCTTACCTGACTTGTCTCACCTAAAACATCATCAAAACCTGATTATACTTCATTGCCTGCTATTTCACAAAGATCTATTTACATACATCAATTTGTATTTACAAGATTTTCAGTAAACTTGACCTCTGACCTAGAAGGCCTATGCTCCACCAGGAGTCTACGAGAAATTGATTGATTTTGACCTCTGACCTTGACCTTGAGTTGATAATTGCAATCATTTGAGACGCCTAGATGACCTCGTTATAAAATTATCACACAGACAAGGTTTTCAGAAAACTTGTACTTTAACCTTGACGTTGAGATCAAAGCCATTAAAATTTAAATATATCCCAGATTATTATTTGGTGCACCTTTGCAACATTGGGTGTCCATCAGGTTCCCACCCACCCGCCCGGCAGGTTGATAACAACACCCCATCATTTCTTGTATGAATGAATACTAATTAGTATATGCTGGACAAGTTCTTAGCACAAGTTGTGTATAGAAAATAACCAAATTACCTTCTTTGAAACCCCAAAGATTGGATGGCGGTGACTGGATTCAAACCAAAAACAAGGTGAAGAAATGGAGAGCTCTGACTAATGTGGACCTGAGGACTCGTCTCGACACTAATCAGCCAAACAAGTCACCTCAGACCACCATCCTGCCAGCCCTGCGGTAAGCTTCTTTATTGTTTTTATTGTCATAAACTTACTGTAATGAAGGCAGGAAAGGACCCAAATGCAGACTCATAGGCAGGACGTTAACCCAAAAATACAGTTTTATTTGCTGAGTGGAATAAATAATACAAAACTAAACAGGGAAATTTCAGGAATACTGAACTAATGAAGAAACACACGGAGAAGCACACAGCCACGACAGATGAGGGAGAATGCAACACTGGACAGAGGGAAACAGAGGGCTTAAATACACAGTAAAATCATGAGGCAACAGAAAACACATGGGGAACACAGCTGAGACGAATTATACACAACGAGAATGGGAAAACAAAACTAAACACACTGAATAAGGAATGCAAGACTTTCACAATAAAACAGGAAACAAAGGAACACCAGACTGACACATGAGCTTGACAGAGGAGTGGAGGAGAGGGGGCGAGAGGATACATGACGGGCTGGGGAAACATGGATAAACATGGACACGAAGAAAGACCTACAGGACAAAGACACAACAGAGAGCCTAATCATCAAAGACTTAAACAAGGAACATGAGAAACTCGAAACAAGCTAAGACTACTAATGAACAGGAACATAAACCATAATACAAAATATCACCAAAACAAAGAAACTCAAAATGCTGGGTCACAAGGACTCTCTGGAAAGGTTGTCATTCCATCACCGAGTGAACACAGAGAGAC